GGCACCAAGTATAGCTGGATCATTTTAGAATAAGAAAAGCAAAGACAAGAGTGAACAGGAGCTGACTTACTATTTAAAGAATTTAATTTTCGTTTTGAGGAAAAGTGTAAGTCTAAATTTGCTGTTATGTAACAAACTGCATTTAAAAGCAATTGCTTTTGAAAATACACTATTGAACTTTGAAATTACTGTGATAATGCAGCTTTAGTCTGTGAATGCTCCAGTCTGGGAGGAAGCACAACAGCAGCCTTTGATGAGGACATGAATTTGTTATGACAGGCTAATTTTACAAATCCAAGGCTGCCTTACGGCAGAATTATAAAGATATAGATTAAAAAAAGCCAAAAGCCCAAGAAGCAAGAAATGTATCATGTTGCTGCTGAGAAAAAGTTCTCGCACAGTCAACTCCCACAGGTCAATTCAAGGTAGTATCCAGCTGCCTTTGATAGCTCAGGGAGCAAAATATTGTGAATATCGGGCATGTTTAGACTGATTGGTGACTTTGGCTGCTTGATCCGTGCCTGTGTGTGTGCCTGGGAGTGCTGTGATATGAACTGCCTCACGAGAACAGCCAAACACACATCTCGGGGGGAAAAGCAAAGAGGAAAAACCAAATCAAACCAAACCTGGCGGCCCTCCCTGCCCCCCGGACAGAATGTGAAAGAACAGAAATCCTGCCTGGAGCCCTGGTGCAGCCCGGCTGTGCCTGAGGCTGCTGACACGGGGAGGGAGCATCAGGCTGGTGTCAGAAATCTCCTGGAAATAATCTCATTGCAGATATCCCAGTAACCCTCCCCAGGAAGGGCAGGCAGGATCTGCTGGAGATGGAGGAAATCAGGAGGAGAGCGTTGGGAAGTGAGGAGTGGATCCTGGAGAAAGGGGGAGTAGGAAGCTCAGCTGAGAGGTGCAGGAATGGAGGAGAAGCTTGGTGGGGTGCCCACCTTAGCCAGAGCCATCAGCAAATGGGAAGAGCCTTGCAGCACCTGAAGGGAACCTACGAGAAGGATGGGGAGGGATTTTTGGCAAGGGCAAGCAGTGATAGGAGAAGGGAGAATGGTTCAAGGTGGAAAAAGATCGATTCACCTTGGATATTGGGAAGGAATTGTTCCCTGTGAGGGTGGGCAGGGCTGGCACAGGGTGCCCAGAGCAGCCCCTGGATCCCTGGCAGTGCCCAAGGCCAGGTTGGACATTGGGGCTGGAGCAGCCTGGGACAGTGGGAGGTGTCCCTGCCATGGCAGGGGTGGCACTGGATGGGCTTTGAAGTCCCTTCCATTCTGGGACACTGTGAACTGTGGACAAGGGAGGGAGGAGAAATCATGTGGTGATTCCTCTGGAATGCTGCTTGCTCCTGTGAAGATCTTGTGACCAAGGAGTCACTGAAACACGTCCCACAATGTTTGAGGCAAAGGCAAACAGAGCTTTGGGGCTAAGGAAATCCTCTATGGACACATGCCAAGATGCACTCGAGCCTTTGCCACTGATTTTGTGTGGTGCTGTCTGAGCCAGTGGCCAAAGGAGCCTGGTTTGTGTTCCTGACAAACCCTGCAAGGCTCCAACACTGCCGAGGGAGCTCTTAGAGCAGCTCAGTGCCACTGTGTAAATCTCTGCAGCCCAGCACTGATGGAAGGGTCGATGTGACAGGTGTCACCCATAAATCCCATTTAAATACATCCATTACCACACACTGTATCACTCACAATCACCCATGAAATGTCTCTTTGGAGTCAGGAATCAGACTGGGATGATTTAGGGCCATCTCACTGGTGTGATGGGATTAGCTGGATGTTGCAGCTCGTAGGATGTCAGGCCCAGCACTGGCCCCAGAAGGGATGAGGCAGAGGCAGCTCCAACAGCAGCTTTCCAGCAGCCTTTCCCTGCAGCCTGGAGCTGCTTCAAGCCCAGACTTTAAAACTGACCACAGAGACTTCAAAACCCACTTCCCATGGGAACACATGCAAGAGTCCTGCAGATGCTTTAAGTTTTAGAGCCAATGGCTTTCTCTGCCTTTCTGTCATCATTTCCACCTTGGCAAGTGGAGTTCACATAGCTTTACACACTCATGCACACAGAGTTCTGCCTGAGACACAGACAGAGGGAGGTTTTTTGCCACTCAGCAGGTGGTTTTTTTTGCTAGTTTCTCCTCCAAAAGGAGCAGACAGCTTGAGAGATCAACCTGCTCCAAATAGAAAATTGGTGTCTCATTTAATTCAGAATAACGTGAGAACATCTGCAAAATAAACAGGGCGATTTATACAGGCAAATGCTTATTGGGAGACTTCAGTGCTGGCTGCTGTTTCAGTCTGTGGTAGGGAGGAGCTGTGCTGACAGGAGAGGCTGGGACACGCCCCACATGAACAACTCCTTTAGGCATTGCTGAGTAAAAGTGGAAGAGGAGAGGTGCCCACACGTGCTGTGTCTGAGTGGTGGCAGGAGCAGGATGAGGGGAAGAAGATGTGAGACAGTCCCCATGGCACAGGGACACCAGTGGCTCCCCAGCCCTGGTGAGAATCTTCTGCTCTGAGCACTCTGCTCCAGTCCCAACGCCAGGACAGCTTCACTCTCCTCTCACTCGTAGTGACTTTTCCCATTAGCCACAGAAACATTCTGTCCTTTTGGCCATGATGGCCTTGATAACAGCTCTGCCACTGGGATCAGGTGAGGAGCATATGGATATGGGGGAGCAATTGGATGCAGAATTAGGATTGAGTCCAAACAGCAGCAAAATGCAGGCAGAGATGACCTGAGGTTCACGGGTGCAGCTCTGCCTTCATTCTCCAGAAAGGGCACGAGAAGGAAGAGCCATCACTGCTCCTCCTGTCCCTGGTGCTGCTGAGAGGGATCAGCCCGTTCAGTCAGGAGCAGCAGAGGAGGGGGAATGTCAGGTAAGAGCAGGAGAGAGTGGGTGAAGCGAGGAGCTGGAGCACTGTCACTTTTAATGAGCCGGGTGATTATGTACTGGCAGCTGTTTGCAGATTAGACACTGAGGACTTGGTCAGGGATAATGATCTCTCTCTGGAATTAGGAGATTGTTCTCTCTTCTGGCAGGGAAAGAAGCGCTGGGCAGTGCCCAGCATGCAGACCTGAAGCCCCAGGAGGGGAGGCCCGTGGTATCTCCTTCCCCCACCCCAATAGAGGAGGAGTCCTGTCCTCAAAGCAGCCCCGAAGGACCGGATTACAATGCAGGGATTAAACCGGTGTCCTAGGATGTCCTTAGCTCCTTAGCCCAGTGTGGAGTATCTGGCTCCCAGGCAGCTCCCTGCAGGATCCAGTGCTGGGTGTTTTCCAGCCTAATAAAATGTTCTGAAAACTGGATATGGGGATGATGTGCTACAGAGGTCACACACCTGCAAGAGCCAGTGAGGGGTGAGGGCAAACATCAGCATTTCCAGAACTGCACCCAAAGGCTCTTTCTTCATCTCCCCTGAGATGGAAAAATAAGCCTGCTCTCTGCAGCTCAAAACTGGTATTAACAACAACAATTGACTTTTCCAAATAAAATATTCAGCTACAGAAAATGTTTCTCCAAAGCAATGTCGTTGCCTTCAGTTCTGCCAGCAATGCAAACTGGCACAGCAGCCATGGCACACAGACAGCATTGAAACCAGATCTTGTTAAAATCCCAGCCTGACCCCACAGGTGGTGTGGGACTGGGGAATATCATCTCCCCAGCCTAAAAGTCTGAAGTGTATCAGCTCATCTGTTGCCAAGGGAAGAAGGGATCTCTCAAATATGCTTTCATAGCAGGTTATGGGTGCTTGATGATCCATCTTCTGCTTTAATTAAATTGATTAGCAGGGAATGCCCAGGGTGGCTGCAATCGTTTTCCAGTGAGTGCTGAGGCTGCAGTGAGAAAGTGGCAGTGGTGGTGGGAATGTTTCCTACATGTGACCTCTCCATTCATCTCCTCCTGGTACAAAAACATAAATTATACAAAGGTTGTAATGGTGATCTCCTCACAGAGGGGACAACAGCCTGGGCCAACTATTAAAGTCTTCATACAAAAAAAAAAAAAAAAAAAGTATTCATAGCAAAATGTACTGTACCAGGAAGTTTTAAACGTTGCTCAGTTGGCTTGAAAAGGTTTGTGGTGAATCCAGGCTTACTCCAAGTGGCTTTGCTCTTGGTTCAGGATGAGCACAGGAATTTGGGAACAAGACAATGCCAGTTGGAATATCACAATGGATGTGCTGCACTGAACTGCTCTGGAAGGCAAAGCCCTCAGTGGCTTGAGCTGAGAGTCAGACAGAATGGTCAGATAGCCCAGAGTGGTCCCACTAGAGCTTCTGTGACAAGGGACAGTGGCCAGCAAAGTGATTTGTCCCTCTTCTCTCTCTTCTATGAGGCACCACTTCAACACCAAGTTCTTAAATGATGGGAAACTTTTCCACAAAAAGCACAGGAGGGGCTTGGGATGGAGACTCAGACAAGGAACAGGGGGAGCAGGTGGCTTGGTGGGACTGGTCCCTGTGTCCCATCCTCTGTGTCCCAGGAGTGCCAAGGGCTCTCCAGGAGCAGTGTGCACCATGGGCAGCAGCAGCATTCAGACACCTGACTGCAAACTGGGGTAAAAATTATTCTGCCGCCAGAAAAATTAATGTCTTGGAAAAATAAACAGGATTTTCTGAAGTGAGTGGGATAATCATCAATTAGACTCAAATGGAAATTGTTTCTGTGAGCACTGTGTGACACACTGAGCCAGCCCTTGGGGGATTTCTGCCTTGCACATGCAGCAGTTCAGCTGCCTGCTGCTCCCTGCCTGCCCTGCCCGTCCTCACAGACCTGCACAGCTCAGGCCAGCCCTGCCAGCTGCCATTTCCCTGCATTTGAAAAGTGGGGGACTGTTGGATCCCAGAAATCTGGGATTTCTGAGCTTTCTGTGCCTTCTGGCACTGACCCCCAGGAGAACACTGCTTTGGACCTGAGCCCTTGGAGAAGGCTCCAAATTTGAGTGATGGAGTTAAAATCACTGGTGTGGAGTTCAATAGAAGTGTGTGATTTCACACGATGAAGGGTTTGGAATTTGGGGTTTTTATAAGACAACAATAGGGATGGGACAAGATGAAGGATTTTGGGAGGTGTCTCCTTCAGTCTTCATCTTCCTTCTTCTTCAGTTCTGATGAAATATTCTCATCAGCTCTGATGCAAATATTTCTCAGTTATTAAGGAACAACCCCAGCATTCATTGATAACAATGAAATCTGTAGTTTTTATAGCACTTTTCCACATTCATCACTCAGCACCTGTTTTCTTGTCATCTTGAAGGCAGATCTTGCTGAAGTTGATCACCTTGTGTTCACTGTCTGAGGTCAGGGCCCATATCAGCAAAATTCTTCCTATTGGTTTCATTATTTTAAAGCCATAAATGTTTCCTAGCTATCCATATAACCTACCCAGCTTTCAGGCAGCAGTTTTGGGTTGGACAGTCAGTGCTGCACTGAGGGTCATGGGAATTTGCTTATTGGGTTAAAAAGATAAATAATATAGGTGTTAATTCTCTACTGGACTGTTTAGCTTTAAGGGACCTTGTAGCAGCTGGATCTTTCTCTATTTTATTCACTTTTAGCTGGTAGCCAGAAGTGTTGCTGAACTTTGTGCACTTTTGATAAGATTTAATAAACAACCAAGCCAGAACACGAGAAAATTCATTTCCTTCGTGTGTTTTTTAATCCTGGCTCTGAATGAAGACAGAAGAAACTCCAGACAAATCACTAATTAAGTGATACAAAACACCACCACCATTACAAGGGAGCAGGCCCCAGTGCAGGTTGTGGAGTCTCGTGGCAAAGCCTAAAGGTTCAGCAGGTTTAATTACCCCAGAATCCAGAGTTTGCCTATCAGGTGCCCAAGGAGTGAGTCGAAGGTGTGAGAGGAGCAGTGGGCTGTGTGAGCTGGCACATGACACACACATGGTCACACAAGTTTGCCTTTCAGCAAAAACCCCCAAGAGCAGGGCTAGAAGGGACCTCACTGAGTGAATCCCAAGCAACATCACCTTCATAATTTGCTCTTTCTGACAGCAACCTAAAAAAAACCCTATTTCTTTTAAAGTTCAATAATGGAGCCTCCCATTCACATCCCCCTCCCTCTCTCCCCAGCCCTGCTGGCTGATTCACCACAGTGCTTCACTATCCTTGGAGTCAAAAGCTATTTTTCCTTAATTCTTGTTTGCATTCCTGACCCTTCCCACATGAGAGAAGCCTTTTGAATTCTGCCCTCTCCACCACCAGAGTTGGTCATGTTCCACTTTACAACTCTTTACTCGAGGACATTTTCCCTATTTTTCCTCTCCTTAGACAAGTTTCATCAGCTGCAGGTTTGTAGCTCTCCAACAGTCCAGAAAACTGTAGAAAATGGTTTAAACATAACAGGGAAAAAGAATTTGTCAAGCCCTTTCCTTGTTTGGGATCCATTCCCATGCAGATGACAAGTTGTTGTGAGTGCTGACATGTAGGCGGAATTGGCAATGCCTAATGAAAATGCTTTTAATTACCACGCTCAAGTTATGATTTTGTAAAACAATAACATTTTGCTTGTCTGAAAGCTGAGTATTTATTATTCTCCAACTGTCAAATATTAGTCTGAGTACAAGCAACAGCCCTTGGATTTCTCTCAAAAGGCTTGGGTGATCTTTTGCTAGCAACAGGCAAGGGGATACAGGTGCAGAGCAAATAATCACTGGTTTTATAATTTTCCCAGAGGTTTTGTTGTTTTGTTTTTTTTGGTTTTTTTGGATCTATCCATTCCAGGGCTCCAATCTGAGCTCACTTTTAGGTCCCTTCTTTCCTGGACTTTTCTGGACAGCAAAGGACATGAAGGGATCCTCCAGCACTGGGGAACTCCTCTTGCTTTTCCCAGGTACATTCCTGTTGTACCTTCCTTCTACTTTTGCTTGCACCTGCACCAAACCTCTCCTCCCTTGAAATACACTGTTTTTTAAGTTCTTTCCCCTTACCTCTCATTTGGTATAAAATATAGGACTAAGGGGCACTGAAAAAGCCAAACTTTGCTTTTTGCAGTTTGCAAAAAAGATATTTTGCCTCTTCTCCAACCTAAAAGGTCAGAGTGTCACCACTTTTCTCCCCAGTCTTTTGGAGTTGATTGATTGGAAGAGAAATGCCCCAAAACTTAGACAGATGGAAGAATGGAAGTGCTGAGCCTGTGTTGGCAGTGAGGGCCAGGGTCAATGTTGCAGCCTTATGATACTGAAATTCTTGTGATTTTTCCTTTTCTGGTGCAAACACACTCACCTAGAAGGGGCCTTTCCACACAGGGCAGGAAATTTGGGGGTGGATATGGAACAAGCACGGCCCCAAAGCTGCCAGAGCTCAAGGAGTGCTTGGACAATGATCTCTGACACAGGGTGGGATTTTTGGGGTGTCTGTGCAGGGCCAGGAGCTGGAGGGTCTCTTTCTTCTGAGGATATTCCATGATTTTATAATGGACCATCCAAGGAGTTCAATTCCAGTCCCAAACTGGAGAATTTGACTTATTTTCTTCCTTAGAGCAAACCAGATCTGTGATGACCCAGGAACATGGCAGGGGACAGTAAGAACACTGCCACTTAGAGCAGGAGCTTCTCTCTCCCACGAATTCATGGCTCCTCCTGGAAAACGATCTGAGAAAAATTAGCACAGGACATTATGTGTACAGTGTCTGATCTCAGAGAGGGATGGGTTTGGGAGAATGAAGAGTTGACATTTGTGAGGCTGCTGGGAGTGCTGGCAAACCCACGTGGTTTGCAGATTCCTCTCATGTTCAGTTAAATCAGCTCATGGCCTCTTTGGTGCCTGACAAGAAATGTTCTGTCAGGAAGGCACGGATGTGTTTTCTGTCTCTGTCACACACATGGACGCACAGGAGCTGCTTGTTTGCTGCATTTTCTCTGCATTCTGGTGTCTGACTTGTGGGCTGTAGAGAAGAACTGGTATATAATTATTTTCCTTCTTTCTACCAGGACATCAAGAAACTCTGGGAGACTACATCTGCAGCCAGTATATACTGCAGAAGTGACCTAAATTACTATTAATTGTAGTGGCAGGACTAAATAGCTGTCCTCAGTGTGTTTACAACTGGAGAGACAAACAGTTTGTTCTCAAGATAATGACAAACCACTTATATTTGGTCTACAAAAGGACTGTTTGTTCCCTAAATACCTGCACCAGGAACTGTGTTTGTGAAGGAAAAACAAAATGTCTTCATGGGCAGTGCCCTGCCTGGAGCTGCTCTCTCTGGGATGCTGGCTCTGGTCACCCAGCTCTAGTCAAAGCTAAAATAACCTCCCAGGTTTAGTTTTCTGCCAAGAATTGGGGGACTTGGGAGCAAGCCCTGATCAGGGCAGAGATGTAAATATGGAAATAGAAAGGCACTTGGCTTGTTAGAGATTTCTAGCATTGCCACAATTTCCTCAAGGCCTGTTAGCCACCAAAACCGTGCTGATGCCAGGTTCAGCAGTCTCTGGGGTGTTGGCATCCCTGCAAGGGAGGTTGGGCAGCTGTTCTGAGTGGTGCCATTCACCAGCCAACACTGTTTTCATCTCTGATGGCCTCTGAAAAATATCCCCAAATTAATTGTCCAAGAGATGCCCATTAGATCAAGAACGTCAGAAAGCCAGAAGAAAGAATGGCTGAGACCTCACCACCTCACCTTAAATTTCATCTGATCTGGAAACTCAGCTTCTATCCTGTCATCAAGGTGTCGATAAAATTAAATTATTTCTGAGTGTTTTTAGACCATTCCCACAGATGTGTCTTTCATAAAATGTTTTTATTCTTTGGTTTTAAGGGTAGCTTATGACCCAAATGCTGATACCTCCTGCCTTTGCTGAAAACTCCAGTGTGTGTCCATGTCCTCCCCTTTCTGGATTGTCACTGAACTCAAGAAAACCAGCTTACAGAAAGAAAGAAAGAAAGAAGTAAATCTTTAAAGACTCAAAACTGAATTCTCAGTCAGCTGTCTGTGTGTATCTTTCGGACTTGTATCAGAGACCAGGAAATTTATAGCAGCAGCTCTGATTAGATGGAATGAAATAATGCCACAGAGATGGAAGTGAGCACTGAAAGTCTTTACCAGCGTGGTTCAGAACCTCCTGCTGCCTGTGTGAATGCACCTGCATGGACTCCACTGCAGATGGGCCCACTTTCATCTCTCCAGCCCATCAGACACCACTCAGGGTGATGTTTTAATGCCTTGCCTACATGTGGGGCCAGCTGGTAGGTGAACATCTACAGCACAGCTCAGGCTGCCAGGTTCCAAATATCCTGCAACTCTCTTTTTCCCTGCTGCATGGCTTTGCTGTGCTTAGCTGGCCCATTCCTCACTGTCAGGACCACATTCCACACAGTCTGGGATGAGCTGGAAGCTCTTCTTCCAGGCTTGGGACTTGACATTCAGCTGAACTGTGGCCTCCCAGGCATGTCCCAGGGCATGAGAGCCTCCAAGTGGGAGGATGCACAGAGTGTGATGGTGTCTGTCATTGCCACAGCTCCAGGGAGCTGGGACAGGCACAAGGAGCAAGGAGCAGGATGTCCAAGAAGCTGGGACATGGGACAGGACCAGCACAAGCAGCAGGATGGGCTGTGAGAGAAGCAGCTCCTGCTCCCTGGATCTCACTGCTCCCTGCATTCCCCCTGCTCAGCCCAGAAATAGAGGAGATTGTTCACCCAGATTCACACATGGGATGATCCATGAAGACAATATTATCAATCACCAGGCAAAGCTGCTCTGCTGAGCTCTATAAATAAACAGCTCCTCACAGCCTCGTACGCCAGCCTGCCGGAGATTATTCCTGCCAGAGGTCTTGGGTGCTTCCTTAGCATTAATTCTCTTTTTTGAGAGTGATTCACCTTGAACACAGAATGTTTTCTCGAGTATCTCCTTCTGATCAGAGTGTTCCCCCCGACCTTATAATCTGCAGCTCTGTTAATGCCTTAATGGCACCTGGTTATCCCGACACAGCAGGACGTGCTGGATCCACGTGCCATCCAGTCCTCTGGGCTTCCTGGGAAAGCCTTGCTGCTGTTTGTAGAACAGTGGGATTTCTTCCTTCCTTACTGCAAAGTACAGGCTTACAGACCCCTCACTAC